ATAAACGTAATATAAATAAATTTTATAGTATCCAGCGATAAACTATTTGAGTTTAACTTTTAATTCAATAACAATTATAATTAACAATGAAACAATAATAATTAATAATTAATAAAACAATAATTAAATAATAATTAATATGATTTATACGAACAAAAAGAGAAAACTAAAAATTATATTTATATCATTAAACAAGTATATTTTAATATAAATGTAATTTTGTCAGTCTTTTCTGTTTCTTTACTTAATATCTTAATCTCAGATTGAAAATAAAATTTTGAAAAATCTATAGAATGAAAAGTCTTAACTTTTGAGATATTTATTGTTTATTTGACACATAATATTCCTATTTGCTCATATTTCAGGACAAGTAAATATTTGTTTAGCTTATTAAAATTAATGTCAGAATCTGGATGTTGTATATCAAAAATTTTAAGATCCTGAGAGTGAAGAACATATATCCTAAAATGTACTTTCAAGATCCCTAAACGCAAAAAAGTCCTCATATATATCTAACAAACATCTGATAGATATAAATATATCTGATGAAAGATTGAAGGGATTCTTTAAATGAGGAAACGAGAACACGCATCCATTTTGAGAACAAAACATTTCGTGACTTCGTGACGTCGAGATGAGCATTAGTTTTTTACCGTCATTAATCCCGAAGATAGCAACGGTTTCTTTCCTCTGGTCGGAAATTATAGATATAGCTTCTTCATGCAGCGAATAAAAAAACGCGGTAAGTAGATTTCTCCTCGAGTTATTCGATAAAATAAGAAATATGAGCATGTCAACAGATTGAAAGATGTAAATAAAAAATTGGAAAATGCAACAGATTGATGGATTCTTAAATTACGCGGATCTTTAAATTACCGGACAAAAAAGAAGAAAAAATATTAGAAATATTAGAAAAATATTATATATATATATATATATATATATATATATATATATATATATATATAAATTTAAGAATCCATCAATCTGTTGCATTTTCCAATTTTTTATTTACATCTTTCATCTATAAATTATATATAAATAATAATAATAAATTAATATATATATAGGTGTGTGTGTGTGTGTGTGTGTGTGTGTGTGTGTGTGTATGAATTATTCAAATATTTCCTTTATATAAAATATTATATACTTGGTAAAATGTAGGATTTGCCGTAATATTACTATGTGGTATTATTTCGCCTAAATGATTTTGCATGAATAGCAGATTTCTCAAAAGCAGAAATTTCCTGCCAATCAAGGCAAAATCCTCTTTCACGTTTCGTCTCTCAAATCAGCATATATCGCGGTATACAGCGCCTCGAAAAGGCAACGAGGCTTTGATTTACTTTCTCGTCCCTTATTCAAGCGACGTTACGGCAGCGCGTTTTCTCCTTAAATGGGCGCCCAACGTCTGAGCGACATTAGAGTTCTCGGTCAAAGCCAAAGTCACGGTATGAGGGTCCCCATCCTTGATGTTTTCCAAGGAGATGTTGCACCGCGAGAAGGATCAGGAGAAAAAGGCTCGAAATAGACGCTTCAGAGTTTTTTTTTACGCACTATTCTCGCTTTGTAGATCATTGAAATAACGAGGGCAAAATCGATGATATACGTAATACGAGCATGTTGGATGTTAAACAACCGGACAGACACGATTGCAGATGGATTCAATTAGAAAGGACAAGCATACGACAGTAATCGTCGAAGGTCGCATTACATCGCGTTCGCATTCGCACAACTACTAACTGTAAACACGTTTTATAAAATTATATTGCTCTATATCTCAACGAAAAATAAACTTTCTTGAGATTTAGCATAATAATATAGATTATTATATTAATTGAAATATTATTATTACGTAACGAGTAATCTGATCTTCGGACTTGTATGTTACATACTGTAAATGCAAAACTGTGTTATACGAAATTTCTGATGCAAATATATTCAAAATTTAATACAGAAAAAAGAGATGAGCTTTATAATATAATTCAAATGCGGCTTAACATATATAATAATCGAAATGCATAATGTACTTGAATTACGAATGTTGATATAGAAATATAAATTATAAAGGTTGCGTGCCATGAGAACGGAATGTAGAATATGTATTTATTTCTATGACAACATCAAGATTGATTGGTACATTCGCATCATTTTATGATAGCATACAATTCTCCATCATTCTCGATAATTCAAATGCGATGTACTCAGCTTAATTCTTATGTGATATCGAATTATGCTCAATTATATTCAATCCTCTAATAAAATAACATAAATAACGTTATTACCAATTATAATTTATACGAGAGCATGCACGAAAATTGTGCACGAGAAAATTTTAATTTGATATAAATGATTTAAATATTGTGTACACATACAGACACACACGCACACACACGCGCGCGCAATTAGAGATTATTTCGATATACATGGATAAAAAAAAAGAATGTGCAACTAAATGCACGAAGCATTTTGCATTTATCGCATTTTTGCATCGTGGCAAATGCTACGAGCGTGAACTCCCACTGCGGAATTCAGCATGCTTCAAAATTGCATTGCGGTGCATTCCACGTTTCGTTCGATATTTTCCTGTCGATCGAAGGCCGTACGATGCATGAACGCATCGGCGAACGGTTTCTCTCACGCGCTTCCCGCGAAACAATAAGCGCGGGGAGGAACTTTGTTTCGCAATAAAAAGAATCTAGTTACCGTTATACTTCCCGCTGCGTACGGCACGCTGGAATTCCTATCTTTTGCTACGCAACGTAACTTCGCATCGTAACACTGCTACATCCGTCACCGTAATGGGATACGCATAATACGTGCGCATAATATCTGCGAATTCAGACTGCAAGACACACGCAAGGACACGAGGAGGAGAACACGATTCTCCGTAATGTCGTAACGTAACAATAAAAACGTTATTTTATCGATTCAATCGACTCCGGCGAGCGGAAATAGTTGTTTCATTCCAACAGCAAGAAATGCGATTGTGGCGAATCATCGATCGGGGGAACGTCCATATCGACAACTCGATAAATTTAATTTTACGTTTTATGAAACAATTTTTGTACGTTACGTAAAATTGTTGCGATGTAATCGGTTTTTTGTTCGCAACATGTGTAATGAAAATCCCACGAAATTCTAATAATGTCGATTATTCGATCGTGCGTATAAAATGTCGAATTTTCAACATTAAAAGAATCCATTAATGGCCGTGGAAATTCAAAATTAATATAATTATATATATAATTATATATATCGAAAATAGAAAAATTCTTTCACAAGAAAACGAAATATGCTACGTGAGACTTGAATGAAGAAAAAGTTGTTAAATAGAGAGAGAGATTGTGGGTCAGCAACTCTCTGCCACGTTCCACTTTCTCCTTTCTTCGGATTTCATAGACCCAAGGTCTATGAACCCGGTAACTGGTTTTAATCATGACTATTATCTCAAATTGTAAACGCTTCTATTTCGATTCGAAGCGATCATAAGTTTATTCCGAATATGAAATTGCACCGGATATAGTGAGACGATAATTATTCTGTTAAAAATATAATTATAATTGATTTTCTCGTATTTAAATTACCTATTTCTTGGATTCTTATGAAACTTTATTTAGAAAACATTTAAAAAATATCATCGTTCTTGAAATATGAAAGTGTCCACGTGTGAGTCACGCGAGTGACAGTAATCTTCGACTTACGGTCAATTTGTAAGAACAAATGGTTAAACGCGAATCGGGATAGGAAAAACATCCCGGTGAAATCCGTGTAATCGATTCTTTATGCAAATGAGAGCCGCTGCGCGCCATTACAACGCGGAGAAGCCGGACTCACACGGATGTACGCACTAATCGATTCTCGCGATCGGAACGAACCGAGAGAAGCGGAGCTTTGCGAGGGATTACTACGATTATCCGAATAATTACCTCCGGAGTTTCGGGGACGGGCCGGCAAATAAAGCCGGCCCCGATCGTCGGTCGAATTCGTATTCCATCTGTGCATTCAGTTACGCCAGCTACATTGATGCGTATAATCGACATCGCGTTCCCTTTTCTCGCAAGCTCGAAAGCTCTTACGTCGATCGATAGAACAGTAAATTCACCGGAACAACAAAAGGCGAGATCGTGCAAGTTATTGCAATAAAAAAAGTAGATATTGCTTTTTGCGCTCGTCAATTTTCCGGGATCATTGAAATCATTGCTCTCTTCGTTACGTTTTAATACTCTCTCGTTCATCGCGAAGATTCGATTACTTTTTAATCTCGTTTAATTCGAGTTGCGTCGCTGCCGATTTGTATCGATGGATGTAAATAAAAGAAACAAATTAATCGATCGTTACGGTTCGATAAACAATAAACTGCTCGTTTTTCCGTTTATACGGCTATTAAATGTATTTATTGTGAAGAATTCCAACAACGTTTCTCATGTTATATTCTAAAACATCACGAATTGCTTTATGGAATCGAAACGCAGTGTGTTAAAATAAAAATAGAATTTAATTTAGTAATTTAGTAATTCCGATGAGAGTTCAGCAGCGCAATTTAATAATTCTGATGAGTTCAGCAGCGCAATTTAGTAATTCTGATGAGTTCAGAATTTTATAGAATAATAACACTTTTGTGTGTGTGTATGTGTTCACGGAAATGACTTATGTTTATTTAAAACAATACGAGTCACTTTTAAAAATGTAAATAACATAAAATACAAAATTTAAAAACTCGAAACGTTTTTCTCTTAAACTCAGATTAGAAATTTCAATTATTAATTTTGCATGTATTTTTTTATCCGGAAATAACACATAAAAAATTGCATGATTAATGCAATCTTATTCTGTAGAAAAAAAAGATATGTAAAATATTTACTTCTGTTCACATTTTCTATGGCGTTCTTGTGGCATTAAAACTAAAATTACTGTCATTATATCGCTTGAAGCGATTTTAGAGAAGTAAGAGAAATGGTTATGAAAAAATTAACAAGGCAGTAATAATAAAAACTCACCAAGCGCCTTGCAGCTTGCACCATGAAGGGAATCCCCAGCGAGCTGAATGATAGCCATGAGAATATCGCCCATCATCAGGCAGGCGACATGATGAGTCTGGCAGCGCCAGTGCAAGACGTGATGAGAGGCAGGTAATAGCCAACCTGCTGCCAAGGTGGCGGCCAGGAAGACGGCGCTAATAATGAAGCCCACAGGATATAGGGTGAATCTGATGTCCGTCGTACGCACTGCAGGTCTGAAAAATTCGTAAGGACGTTATTTTTTAGGCGTATCTTATACTGGCTGTTATCTAAGTCTATTCAAGAAGAGAATACATTAATTAATTTAAAAGCTAATAATCTTAAAAAAGGTACAATCGTAATCTAAATCTTTTTATAAAAGATACTTCTTTCAAATATGAAAATTGTGTAAAAGACATTTTAATCTTTAAACATTTTTTATATGTTTAAAAATATTTGTTGATTATTGTATTCTAGATTACTATGATATTTTACATATGCATATAAATCAGTAAAACACACGGTTTTCTCCGTCTATGTATATATAATCCTTCCTATTTAATTTAAATTTTAGATATTTATTTGCAGAGGTCCGATAATGCAATATTATTATATCATAGCATGTACATAGATATTATTATATCATTGCATGTACATAAATGCATATAGATTAATATACATATTAAATAACGGAAAATTATTTAATTAGAATCACTATAATATTGCTTTATTATGTGTTCATGTATTAATGGAAAGCCCAAATGAACACAATTGAGTTTATGTAATAATTAGAGACAATCCCCAAACACAACATGTAATTTATTAATAAATTTCGCAATAATAATAACTTACAACAATTATAATAGTAATAACAATTAATAGCATTAATTTACGCAAAAATAACAGCTTTTGTTGTTGAATAAAAAAAATGTACACATATTTTCAAGAAAATGTTTTTTTTCCGTAAATTATACTTTTCTAGTTTATATTGCAAGTAATTTTTTGATACATACAGCAGCACACGCATAAAGAAAGGTTATCATACATTATTTAAAACTCGGCATACTGTCGATATTTCTCCCTATCCGCAGGCAAAAAGCCACGGAAGAAAAAGACAAATTATGGCGCTATTAGTTATTTTTCGCGCTGGGCGGATTAATTAAATTCGGGCAGTTTTATCGGCGTCACATCGGCAATTGTCCGATTGGCTCACTGCCAGCGGTCGGCAGTGAGCCAGATATTCGATTGGTCCTATATAATGGAAATAATACCGCGTTATCGATGATCGTTACGTCCGTTTTTAATTAAGATTCCTAAAAGATTCAGATGAAACAATTTTTCACCGCAACTAACGATCTCTCGATATAATTGCATTTAGGATAAATTTCCGTTTTCAAAATCGTTTACGGTGGTTTCGACATGCACCAATATGCGTGTGTTATATCGTGTATGTATTAATATATCAGATGAAAAAAATCATAAAGCTAGTATCTCTAAAATTTCCATAAACTTCACTCAGTTGTCCTTATAGTAATTTCCATAAAACAAAGATTTACATGCAATAAAGTTATCTCAATAAATTTTGAAAAAATACATGTATCTCTTTCTCGTAAAATAGGTATATCTTGTTTACAGTAATTTATGTATTGCAGGAATAAAATATTTATGTACAGTAATATATTTATATAAATATATATTTTTTAAAAAAATAATAGGAAAAATAAGCATGATTTATCGCGAAATTTATTTAATTATTTCGTGTTTCAGATGTAAGTGACACACGCTTTTGTTCATACATCGTTAAAGATTGATTGAATTCAATTTTAAGAAAAGTCACAATAACTCACTATTACTATACATGAATGCAAAAAACCGATAGCATCCGGTCGTGTTTTGTTCCATTGATTGGCGTTCGGAGTTGTGCGTTGGCGAGTAAATTTTTCACGGGAAATGGAATGTCAACGATCGGCCGGCCCGTATTTGTGTCCGTACAAACGTAAATATGTAGAATGCGAACGAAATACAGACGTAGGTACGCAACTTTCTACAAAATTGGTTCTGCACAGACGCGTTAATCGCATTTCCAATGTTACTTTGTACACCTACCGGCGATTAAACTTTTGCAAACTGCCGTATATTCTCCCAGCAATTTCGCAAACGCCACGTCGACATGGATCGAGACTTTGAATCCGGGAAATAAACACGAGAGTGTATTTGTATACTTTACGGTAACGATACGTTCGCTCTATATTATTGTATTATATTATATATACGCGAAATTACATGACATTGTCTCTGTCCAGAGCGAATGGAAACTCTCGAATCTCTTACTATCAACGACGTCCGTCAATCACAGCTCATCCTTAATCTTAATGAAATGTCTCGGTAAATGAGATCTTCTAACCCTATCTTACGTCATACGTCATATAGGAATCGTAAACGTTTGAATCTGACGTAAATTACGTCATGCAACGTGGAATATTTGTATATTGCTAATTTAGGTGTGATATTTATATAAAGATATATAATTTCACGTTTCACTTTTTTGCTAAGAATTTTAGAAAGCATCTTAAAAAAAAGTTCTATCGAAAAATATTAGGATTTAAATCGATTAGATTAAAATAAAACAGTGATTATCAATTTCTTTTTCTTCATATAATGAAAATATATCACTCTTATATCTGATCAAATCATTTTTTCAGACGAGGCCCTTACATAACATCATCTGAGCACAAGTATTTTTATCGCTCATCGTTCTGATGCGCGGAAACGGAGTATGGAGTTGTGAGAACGTTTTCATGGAATCTTGGATGACGTGGGACCGAGCACACGTGACCTAGAAATACTTCGAAAGGATTAAGAGGAGAAGTGAAAGTGTGTATGGAAGCCGACTTTTTCTCGACATATCGTCAGGAATGACGTAGAAATACCGCCGTTTATCTCTAGCGCAATCACCTATCGAACGCGCAATTAAGCCGTGCGATAAATTCAGATCGGAGCAGGCGATACTTAGCAGGGCAAAAAGTCGAATCGTGCTTAGAGATTTAAAGCGAGCCGAATGACTTGACCGTCGATCACGCGACTCGACTTTATTCTTTGCGAGAGATTAGATGAATGAATGATGATCGAGCAAACAAGAACAACAGAGGATTGATGTTGCATAATGGAGGAATCGATTATCGATTTCTTGCTATTTACGTTTGATATCGCGTTATCAATTATGTAGAACAGCACACCTTTGGAATATATTGTTGTAGCACAACATGAAAAACAATATTAATAATAGTAATTGAAAAGTGTGAAAAAGATTTATTATAGTTTATTATATAGAATTTGCTTTTTCAGATTTTTCTGTCAAGAAATAAAGGAATATTATTTATTATATTATTGCTTGCTCTTTTTTTTACTATCCTTTTATATTATTTATATCTTTTTTTAAATTAATTATACAAAAATAATTACTATAATTAATATAAATATATATAATTACATTAATTAATATAAACACATAAAATCAATATGATTAGGGTTATCAAATCCAAACATCTAAATTACCAGACATTTCGTCTTTGGAACAAACTCTAATCGGACAGAAATAGTAAACATAAAACTACATTATTTATAAATACAAAATTTGATAAGAAACTTTCTCTCTTTCCCTCTCTTTCTCTCTCCCTCTCTTTTTTCTTTCTCTCTCACTTCTTTCCTACAATATTGTTTTTAAGACAATTTTCGAAATGTCCAGTGTCCGGTTTGACTTGTCAACTGGACACCGGACAAGAGTCCTAAAAACCTGACAGTCCAAACCGGACGGTTGGCAACCCTAATCATGATACACATGCAGTAAAAAATAACGAAAAAATATCCATTACCGGAAAAATAAAATCTTATCTCTAAAGATAAAGGATCTTTCAATTATTTAAAACTTTTATATGCGTCCGTTTGAAGACTAAAAAGTTTTAAAAGCAAGCTTACAGTTTATCATCGTGATTATTTCAACGAAGATTTGATTATCTTTATTTGTAGATCACGTTGCAACATCGGAGAAACAAAAGGTTCAACAAGAACGAACGTATCATGACGCGCGCGCGTGCACGACATTCTTAATCTTAATGTACCAACCTTTGTGGTGCATGTTCCGGACAGGCAAACACCTTGGCTATCTGGTTTAGTTCCTTGATTCTTTCAACACAAAACTGGCCGGTAGGTAAAACGACGCCGTTTATTTCCAGACCGCCATCAGGCTGCAATACGGCATCCTTCGTCTCTCCTAGGATCGTGAAGTTGTCGGATTTCGGGCAGGTAGGAAATCCCGCCACGATCTCGACAACGGAGGACGCGTTCGGCAGGAGGGGCGGTGCATTCTCGGTCTCTTTTAAATGAACGCAAGTATTTCTGTAAAATACAAAAGGCTTCTTGTGAGAATTTTAAACTCTCAGTGTTAAAAAAATGAAAGGATATAGAAATGAATGAATAAAAAATAATTGAACATATATTCTGAACAATCATATGTTATAATTAACTATTTTCTGTATAATATGCTATTTTCTAAATAGTATATTTTTAGATTAATTAAATATAATTTCAAAAGATATAGATTTTTAAACAAAATAAAATCAAATAAATCATAAAATCAATTAATTAAATATAATTTCAAAAGATATAGATTTTTAAACAAAATAAAATCAAATAAATCATAAAATCAAATAAATATATAGATTTTTAAACAAAATAAAATCAAATAAAACCAAAAACGTTTCGCAAACGTCAAGATCAGGCACGTATTTCTTGTAAGAGACCCGGTAAATAAACAAGTTACTACAAAATAGTTAAGTCGAAGCCTCGCTATCTGCGTAATCTACTATCTTATTTGCGGGCAATATTATAACCTTATTACAATCTTAATATCCTGTATTGCAGCGATATTACAATCTTATTACACGATCGTGATACTACGTATTTGCTCCAAGGAACTTGTTTATGTATTCGAAAAACATCCCGCTAATCTCAAAGTCAATTTCAAACGACCTTGATAACAGAATCCTTGCAGATTTGCGTCTTACTTGGACTTAACCTAAGTTAATCCTGATATATTCGTTCATTTGACATCGTCTGTCAACAAAGTGACGAAACTAACGAGACTCACCCGTGTTCGTGGAAAGTGGCGTTCTCGCCGCAGCATCGCCGCACTCGCGGTCTCATCGTCGCGGCGGCATGATTGCTCGTCGATTTCCTCTGCATGCACACAAGCAGCGCGTTCGAATCGGCGCAATAGTGGCTGGTGGGAATTTTGTTGCTGTCGTCGATCTCGAGTACCACGTTCCCGTCGACGAGCAGGATGAACGGGTTGGCTTTCCGGTAGGGCACGTGGATCAGCTCCGAACGATCATCGCATTCCGGTCTTCGGCCGTCGATGACGTGCCACTCGTCGGGCAGAGTCTCGACGAAACTCTGTCCCATCGGCGAGTAAATCAACGGCTTCCACTCGTTCGACGTTTGCTCGCAGCGCGGTAATCCGTTGTCATCCGATCCTCGCAATTCCTCGCCCTGTCGGCAGCACTTGAGGATCGTCATCTGCGACTTGGTCAGGTCGTTGGGCTCTGATGTGACGGTGGCCGCGATCGTCACGACGAACGCGACGCAACGAAAGAACGCTCTCATGATTTCGGGAGTCTGCGAGCCTCGCGATTTAACTCGCATTCGTCGCACCTTTTCGAGAGACACTTGACACGTTCAGTCAGTCAATCCACTTTAATCACGGGGGGAAGATTCGAAATTCGCCGCGTGAGTCACGCCGGACAAACAAATGTTTCTGCAAACAATTTCGCACTTGTTATATTATAACCTAACCTAATCGTTATATCATCTCGCGACGCGAACTAAAGTGATCGAGGCAGTCGAAATTCGGAGAGAATTTAGCCGTACAACAAAGAAAAGTGTCGTGCCGGTCGGACGCTCGATGAACGTGACCTCTCCGTTCAGAGGCTTCGGCGTTACTGAAGTTGTCCGACCACGCGGCACCGGCGGCAGCGTGACTCGGATGCGCGCGCAGCCGCGCGTCATGCTCCCCACTCTTGCACGACCTTATTCAACCACCAGCACGCGCTTCCTTCTTTATTCTACGGCGAACTTCGGCGCGTTGTACTAGCGAGAGGGTGAACCACGTGCTTTCATCCCACCATCGCGTCGAAACTGCCACGGTTACGTGCGTAATATTATCTTGTTTATAGGGATGAATTGTACTACTGATTTATTACCAAATGACGTGCGAATTGAAGACTCGATATTAATCTCTCTATTCATTTTGAAATTTTCTTAAAATTTTAGGGAAATCATATTCGTATATGATATCTCGATTTTGATAAAAAAAATTAAATTTTCCTATTGCTAATTATATTTCTTGTTGTAAAGAATACTCGTAGTGTATTAAATATTTTGAAAATGTGTGTATATTTATTTTCACTGGCTCAGAAATAATATAATAGCAATAAAAAATTCAAAGACAAATGTAAAGAATTCAAATATTTGAGATACAAAGTTTGATTAAAATGTAAATAATAACAATACATAATATATGTTCAAAACAAGTCATGTAAATAAACCGCAAATTAAAAGATGAAGGCATTATTTTTGGAAATGCTTTTAAATATTTCTAAAGTTTTATAACAAGTAATTTACATTTTTTATCATTTATTTATTTTTTCTAATATTCGCTTTAGCGTACCAACAATTTTATTACGAATGTGATCATAAATAAACCCGTAAATATTCTTTATGATATATCCAAAAAATCAAAAGAAATATTTGCAATCTACATAGAAATTTTTCGTTTTGAATATCGAGAAAATAACGGAAAATTTACTAAGAAAATTAGAGAGAAAGAGAGAGAGAGAGACAGAGAGAGAATTGATGCGATCTGAAATATGCTGCATGACTAAGTGTAGATCCTGTAAGATATTTCTGAGAAGCATCTCTCTGGGTAGAAAATCTGGGAGAAAATATACAGCCATATTTTCGCTTGCATGCGTCGGTATCTTGACAGGACAAACGTCATTTCATGCAACGAACGATCCGATATCAGAACGTTCTTTCGTTTAGATTGCGTATTCGTGATGAAACGTCTTGGATGGGTTTATTTAGCGATACAATCTGTTTTTTCGTAATGAACAGAAGGTCGAACAGAAAATTTCTCAGCAAGATTAGCGATGATAATGATACTGAATCAATGTAAGAGTAAGATTAACTCTATAAAGTACGCGCGTAAGAAAGAGATACGAGAGAGTGATATAACATCATCTCGTGTGTGAGAAGTGTATCGTTTATGTATCTAATTTATATTCATTAGAGAAATAAATATGATGTAGGCGCGAATAAAAATTCTTGCATTATTTTCTAAAGAATTAATGTATAGACAGAATATTATGATTATGTTTTACGTATATAAAAGATTAAAATTATGATATTGTAATAAAATTAGCCTAATCCCTTTCGATTTAGTGTAATAAAATTATAACATTGTAGCCAAATTGTATTATAAAACATTCTTAAAATAATATCCTTTTGCCAATATTTTCTCGCAAAGTCGTAGTTCAATTTTTCTCACAAGAGCTGACAAAACGGTTCAAGTCGACCGGAAATGCTTTAAAAAGTTTCGCGCGAACAACTTTGGCGAGACGCCGGCAATTAAACTTTTTCGCCATCTCGCGACAGCGAAAATTGGAAATTTGTGTCCTTGCTACAGCGATCTACCAGCGTTTGCAAAATTTTATCAATTAAAATATCGTTAACGTCCCTATCGTTTAATTGAAGCGCTCGTTAAAAAGTGGATTGCTCAGATGAGCTGTTTTTCGTTCTAATAGTTTGGTACTTCCGTCGAGATCTAAGAATAGAGTAAATCTAATATCGGTTTTTATTGCAATTAAAGTATATTTAAAATTGCAGCGCTATTAAATGGCATATTTTGATTAGAAATGGAATATCTGATTTTATTAATAATAATAATAATAAAAATAAAAAAAAAATAATAATAATAGTAATAATAATAATAAGTAAATAATAAAAAAACAATGTAATAAAAACATTTCGTATATGATTAAAATATAATAAATAATCGTTTTAAATTTATTATTTGATTTTTCAAAACTATTTAAAGATATATTATTTACTAATTCTATATGATCAATTTTTTTTTGTTAAAATTGATTGAAAAGGAGACTTTGTTAGAACTGAATTAAAATTGGATATTTTAAAATTTATATTCGAGAGCATAATAAAGAATCAATACATGCCTAGAAAATGATTTATTAATTAAAACTTTTATAGGCAAATATTATAAAATTTATTGAAATATTAGAAAATTTATTGAAATATAATATGAGAGAGAAAAAACTGAAAAAAAATATTTTTTGCCTCTCAGGTTTTAGTGGGATGAGTGTTGCATTAAAATTTTATTAAAATGTAAAAAAAATTTAATAGAGAGAGGAGCGGCTTTTTCGACATAAAACATTTTGCAGCTCTAGAATTATGATACCATATTCTAAAGCATTAAATCAATGCTTCATTATGTATTACCGAATCAAAGATTACAGATCATCAAATTTAAAGGTAGGAAATGTAAATGTTTCCATAACGGAAAATATATCGGGTCATTTTGCAAAATTTCATAGCAACGTACGGGGATGTGCAGAGGTTAATAGAATGGCACGAAATTTAAGTGTCGGAGCATGGAGGGGGGGGAGGGGAACGTAGTAGCACGGCATCACGTAAATCACGGTGATTGTCGGTGTTTCTGTATGCGTGTCCCGTGCGTGAGTTATAGCAGCGCCCGCGCGCGCTTGGATGCGTGAGCGTGCGTTCGTTAATAGGTTTGCACGTGCGTGTCCCTAAACGTAATACCGATTTTATCTATCCCCTTGTCTACGCAGACCGGTCAGCCGGCCGGCGAGCGAGGAGGGTAGAGTTAGGTGGCGGCAGCCAGACAGTTCGATACAGGTTGCTCGGTTGCGATTCCGGAAGCCGAAACTGCGAAATCGTCCGGCCGATTGATCACCAATCGTTAAAAGCAATCGGGTAAAACGTCGCGCGTATCTGTAAAATAAAGTGTTATCGATGATGTTGCACTGCGCGCTTCCGCTACTGCGTTACGGAAGATAATCGAATCCGAGTAATTTCGCTTCGCTAATGAGGGGCTGCGATGTAACTCCGACGCGGTAAAATACTGCGGCGCGTGCTGTAAACAACGCGATACGATAATATCCTGCGGAGGATATTTTATCCTGTGGTTATCTTTTCGCGGAGTAATTGAATATTAACGTTATCGCGACATTGTCCACGATGCCCGGATTATAAAATGTAATGAAACGCGATGTATATTCCATATAGTTAGTTACATGTGACATGCATGAGATAATATCTATTTAATACTTATATATATCATACAATATAATTCGATTTTCCTCGATATAATTGTGTATTAATTTACATATGTATTTTGATGCGAAATATTTTATTGATAACTATGCTCATGAAATTTATCTCCTAAATGTACAGAGCATGTATCTCGCGCAGTTGAGCTGTAATTTTAAAATTAAAAAAAAATAAAATGCGCATTTATTATTTAAATTGAATCGAATTAATAACAATTTTTTTTATATTGATATTAAATTAAAATTTTATTTTTTATATTGATGCATCTATATTAATTCTTTTATAATCATTTTACATATAAAAAATTTAAAACAAGATTTGCAAAAAATAAAAAATTTATAAAATATTGTACAATTTATTGTAAAATACGGTAACAGATATACACAATTTTTAAATTATATATATACATTTTGTGGATTTTAAAATAACATTTTTGCAAATTGACTTTTAGATTGGTTAAAGAAATATGTAAAAAAAATCATAAAGTTCTATTTAAAAAAATTTATTTGAACTATAACTGTAACTAGAATGCAAGAATTGTTGGAATATAATGTAAAATTTATCAATTTCGTCTTATATATAATTTTTTTATTTCGAATCATTTCAATACTGCAATCAAATTTACTTCGATTAAATTTTGCACTTTTGATAAAAAATATTTCACGCTAATTATAAAATTTAATAAACACGCATTATTAATAATTGCATAATATATAATTTATCCGCACAGAATTAGATAAAAAAATGTTAATTAATTAAATACTACATTTTGCAAATTATTTATTGCAAACTTAATGATACATGATTGTCTGTCTAGTCGATATAAACAATGTATTCTTTCGAAAGAATTGTTTTTTATTATTAATCGTGAATTTATGTAAATAAACGTTCTTAATTAAGAATAAAGGATTATAAAGATGCAAAATATTATATATTTAAATTAAATTGATTGATGGAAATCTATCAAAGTTTTTCAAATATTTCGCGCATTCTCTCCCCGTTCATAGGGGCATTCGCGATCATATATATAAAGCGTTATCGAATACCGATCAGTGTCAAGAGCAATGTTAGTAAGCAACAACACTTCATTTTTCTGTGTATCCGGTCAGTATAGAAAGAAACTCATCGTTTCTTTTCAACTCAAATTTTCGAACTGAGACTTCAGTAGAGAATAAATTCGGAAATATGTTTCACCTTTTTGTGATGGCGCTTTTTGTGACGACGGACGCGCAATTGCACAGGTCAGTATATATTTTATTATACTATATACATTGATAAATATCGAAGTTGTAGATATCAATTTTTTTCTTGTCGCATACGATTTCTTGGATTAAACGCGTGACTTGTGCAAATGCAATTAATGTTTCAATACAAATTGGATGAAATTTCTTTGGTCAAAACATATATTTTATTTATTAGTCAAAGAGTAAAAATAAAAAAGAATATTTTTGAAAAAGTGATTCTCTCTCTTTGTTCTTTCGCTTTTGTTCATCTTGCTTTTATCTACATTTAAATGATGACCGTTAGCATAAATATCGTGATTGGAGGTCATCAAAACATCTAATTATACAATAAATTATTTTTTTACGCGTTAGCAGATCAACTCTATATAGGTACATAGGTGTAATGAGTTGCTTTGTATTATTTGTTTACTTGACGTTCACTGTATCCTAGTTTTAATAATAGATACAGTTACTTATTTTTAAATTATTTCCTTGTGTAAAATTATAGACTTGTTGCAAAAAATAAATTTTTGCTAACTAAAAATCAATGTCCGTTAAGTTAGAATGACTTTATTTATATAAGACTGGATTACAAATTAAATATTACTTTAAAGATATATATGTAATATGAAAATCATGTATAATTTAGGAAAGTCATTGAGAGTTAATAAATGTTATTGATATCTTTAAATGCATAATGTATTTATATTGTAAATATGTAAGTTACATAGTTGATTTGATGAAGATGTTTAAATTTATGTAAATTTTTATGACTTATATTTGTCCTATTAAGTAGAAATATTTGCAAGTCACATCAAATGGAAATATTCATTTGATACATGTTGCATTTATATATATATATATATATATATATATATATATATATGTATGTATGTATCACAGAATGTTCTTTATATTATTTCAAGAATTCCGTTGCACAAAATGGATCCCACTCGGCAATCTTTGAAAAAAGTTGACATCGGCTTGCAAGACGTTCCTTCGTTAAGTAATAATCTTCCTTCAGTAGTTTTGTCTAATTTCCTAAACATACAATACTATGGCAATATTACCATTGGGATTCCGCCGCAAGAATTTACAGTAATATTTGATACTGGTTCCTCTGATCTTTGGATACTGTCTAAAAAATGCAACATTACTGCTTGTTGTAAGTAATTTATTTGTATATAGATTTACGCAACAATACACACACACGCGCATATATATATATATATATATATATATATATATATATATATATTTTAATTTGCAACCACTAATTACAAACTTATATTTTTTTCATGGGAAACAAATTGAAAGTTTTGAATTATTTTTGCGAGTACTTAGTACAAAAAAAGTTACTGAATAAATAGCATTTAATCAGTGCCGTCCTCCACGAACATAAACCCGCGAATCACGCGCTGAATAATATATAATTATATATAACATCGATTGCGCGGATTACAGACATATATGTATATCGTTCTGACGAATGGCAATAAAGTGAAGTTTTATTCAATATTTCTTTTATTATATTAATATTTCTTATTCTATATTCCTTCGTTAAATATCACGAAAATAATATTTTCGACTTTCTGACATATGTTTTATCAATGAATATATCTATTTAATTGGTTCGATTTAATTAAACACCGCATGTATAATATCATATATTTAATATTTTATTATATATATATGTGTGTGCGTTCACACATATTACATTTATTAAGATTGCTTATAAGCATTAAAGAAAATCTTTACTGAATAAAATGGTTAATATTAAGTAAAATAAAATGTTCATTGAAATATTCAATATTATAAAGTTATATATATACATATATACATATATATACTATATATAAGTTGTTGTTTACTACAATCATATTTTTCAATTATAATCTTGGAATATTTAAAAAGTTGAACAAAACAGATACGAATTTAATATTTTATGGTGTAAATTTTTTATTACAAAAGCAAACTTTGGAATTTGCATAAATTAATTTAATCAGTTTATTCACTTTCTGAAGATACAAACAAGCTTTGACAAATAAAAATGATTCAATAGTTTGATAGACACATTTATACATACATATGAAAATCTATAAAAGGATGTTGTACATTTATTGTAGATTAATAAGGCGATATCTCTATTTTTAAAAATTTTTCTAATATTGTTAATTTATGATATTACTGAATATGCTTTATAGTAAGACATAATCAATATGATAGCAGAAAATCCAGCACATATATAGTAAATGATACTAAGATTCATTTACCATACATCGCTATAAATGTAAGTGGATTCCTATCTACCGATACAGTGAATGTAAGTCATCATTAAAGAATCCAATTCATTTACAACTATAAACTTACTTTAAACATTTCTTAAACAATCATATTTTTTTCGTCCGGCAATAAGGATATATTATTTCATTACCAATTTCATTATAGGTTGCCGGCCTTAATGTTCAGAATCAAACATTTGCAGAAGTGACTAACGTGTCAAAGGTAAAAGCATTTGCTGCTGCAGAATATGATGGTTTCTTGGGCCTGAGTTATTCCAACATGTCTGTCAATGGAGTAACGAATATTTTCGACAACATGATTAAACAAGGCTTAGTGTCATCACCCATTTTCAGCTTTTATCTAAATAGGTACATCTTCTCTACTTATGAACAATACATATCTCTAAACAAGAGTTTTTAATAAATATAAATATAAATATAAATACAAATATAAATATATAAGTATATATATATATATATATATATATATATATAATTATATCTGTATGTATATTATATTTATATTATATTATATTTATTTTAATATTAACACACATTAAATTTATTATTTATAAATTATTATAATCTCTTAAATAAAAGTATTATTTATATGTGTGTATTAATTATACATAATTTTATCTTAATTATTACACGAACATACACACACACGCACACGTACATACACATATTACGATAAAATTATGCAATTTGTGTGCAGAGACTCTTCAGCCGAGTTAGGTGGTGAGTTTATATTGGGTGGTTCCGATCCTGCTCATTACGACGGCAATTTCACATATATTCCTGTTACTCGCAAAGGATTCTGGCAATTTACCATGGATAAGTACGTTATTTTTTAAATTACATTAATCATGTTTCAACAAATTATTAACGTTACTTTTTTGCAGCATCATAATAAATGATCACATTCTGTGCGTGGAAAGCTGTCAAGCTATCGCTGATACAGGTGCTTCGCATATATGTGGACCAAAATCAGATATTACAAAAATTAATAAACTTATTGGAACTATTAATGTTGATGGAGACGAAAGAGTAAGTAAACGATCATGTGTTTCACCAAACACGTAGCCTGCATGAAAAAAAAAACAAATTGATAATAGCTACAAAAATAAATATTAGGTACGTTCAAGTAAAACATATACTTCTATGGAACAACGACATTAATCCATCTTTTGATTGACCGATTTAATGTGTTTATTAAATATTATTAATTATTAATTTATTTATGTATTATATTACCTTTTTCGTTTAAAGGTGAACTGCAGTCGAATTTCTGAGTTACCTACAATCCGTTTTATTTTGGGTGATAAGGTATTCAATCTTATTGGTAAAGATTACATCATTCAGGTGAGTGCAATAGGTATATATTTTAAATTATTTAAATATATATAAGAGAAGTTTACATTTTATATTTAATTCTGTACAGTTTCAACATAAAGGTAATACTACATGTGTAAGCAGCTTTTTAGGAATTGACTTCTTTGAATTCAATTGGATTTTAGGCGTTCCATTTATTGGCCGTTACTACACTGAGTTTGATATGAAGAATGATCGAGTAGGATTTGCTTTGGCGAAATAAACAATTATTACTTCTTCTAGCACTTATTAAAATATACAACTTACATAATAAAAATGTTTGTACATAATAATCAATTATGTACATTTTGTGAGTTTTGCACGGTCTTGGATTAAAAATTGATATTAAATATTATTCTTATATAATTAACATAACTTTCATAATATTTGTTCATAACAAACTTAACGAGATACTTAAACGTATTCGAAGACTGTGCATATCTTTAATTATTTATTTTTATCTTTAATTATTACTTTCTCAAAAATCTACGAAAACGTTCATCAAACAAAGAGTGATATATGACATATATTTTCACATGTAATTATAGTTTTAATAGTTCGATACAGTTTGTCGACTTCTTTAAGTTTTACAACAATTAAGTTTATGTAGGATGTATTATCTTTCTAGAATACAATCATAATATCATTAAGCTGAGTAACTTTTTTTACTATAATATCACTCATATTAAAAATTAATTATAATTAAATGTCGCATAGAATGAAATAATTTGTACTGCTTTAACGAAAGCAGACATACTATTACACAAACTGTACACTTTGACGAATTTTTACATTATTACACGATAAAACAATAATAATATTTATCAATAATAATATTGATCGATATTTAAATGTATAAATTTTATATGTGAATAAATTTTATATGTTCTTAATTAAAGATACACGATCAAAAAGATGCAAAACATTATATATTTAAATTAAATTGATCGAAATCTATCAAGATTTTTCGAATGTTCGCGCGTTCTCTCCTCGTTTAAGCATTCAATATAGGGGCACTCACGATCATATATATATAAAGCGTTATTGAATACCGATCAGCGTCAAGACCAGTGTTAGTAAGCGACAACACTTTATTTTCTGTGTATCCGGTCATAAAGAACGTGTCGAAAGAAACTCGTTCAAATTTTCACAAATCGAAACTTTAGTAGTAAATAAATTCAGAAGTATGTTTCGCCTATTTGTGATAATGGCGGCGCTCTTTATGACGATCCACGCTCAAATATACAGGTCAGTACATATTTTATTGTATTGTATATTAGCATAATAAAAATCGAAATTATAGAGATCGATTTTTTTTCTCGTAATCGCCGTTTCTTGGATTAAACGCGTGGCTTGTGCAAATGCAATTAATGTTTCAATACAAATTAGATAAAAATTTGGTTAAAACGTATATTTTTATTTATTAGTCAAACAGTAGATAAGAAAAGAATATTTTTGAACAAGTGACTCTCTTTGTTGTTTCGTAACGTTTGTTTTTGTCCATTTTGCTTTTGTCTACATTTAAACAGCGACCGTTAACGTAAATATCGTGAGGTCATCGAAACAATATAATTGTATACTATTTTTTCACGCGTTAGGAAATCGCTTATAGGTATAACGAGTTGCTTTGTATTATTTGTTTTTTTGACATTCTCTGTATCCTATTTTTAATAGGGCACAGTTGATTTTTGTTTTTATATAAATATATATATTATGTAAATATGTATATATATATATATATATATATATATAAACTTGCAAAATATATGATACATATATATGATACATATATTTGATAATATATTTTGCAAGTTATATATATGTATCAAATGAATATTTACATTTGACATGACTTGCAGATATTTCCTCTTAATAGGACAAATATTAAAGTCATAAAAATTTATAAAAAATTAAATATCTCAGAAATCAACTATATAAGTTATTTACAATATAAATACATTATAAATTTAAATATAAATATATTAGTAATAACATTTATTAACTCTCGATGACTTTTTGTAAATTATGTATTTTTTATTGTATATATATCTTATATATATCTTAAAGTAATATTTAATTTGTGATCCAGTCTTATATAAATAAAGTCATTCTACATTAACAAACATTGATTTTTAGTTAACATAAATTTTGCATGTAATTTTATACAAAGAAATAATTTAAAAACAATATATATATATATATATATATATATATATATATCACAGAATGTTCTTTATATTATTTCAAGAATTCCGTTCTCGGACAAAATGGATTCCAATCTACAATATTATAACCTTTCGGAATTACATGACATCAATTTGCAAGAAATTCTTTCAAGTGATAATCATTCAAGTGATAATCTTCCTTCAGTACTTTTGTCTAATTTCCAAAACCTTGTATACTATGGCAATATTACCGTTGGAAATCCGCCGCAAGAATTTAAAGTAGTATTTGATACTGGTTCCGCAAATCTTTGGATACCGTCTAGAAAATGCAACATCGATGCTTGTTGTAAGTAATTTGTTTGTTATATATATATATATATATATATATATATATATATATTATTAACTAGCTTATATATATTTACGCAACAATGCACACACACACACACACACACGCGCGCGCGCGCGCGCGCATATATATATATATATATATATATATATATATATATATTTAATTTGCAACCACTAATTACAAAGTTATATTTTTTCATGAGAAACAAGTTGAAAGTTTTGAATTATTTTTGCGAATATTTAGTATAAAAAAAGTTATTGAATAAATTGCATTTAATCATTGCCGTCTTTCACAAACATAAACCCGCGAACATAATCGCGCGCCCAACATGTAAGCATGCATAATATCGCGGATCACCGACATATATGTATATCGTTCTGACGAGCAATAAAGTGAATTTTATTCAATATATTTCTTTTATTATATTAATATTTCTTATTCTATTTCTTTTATTATATTAATATTTCTTATTCTATTTCTTCTTTAAGAATCGCGAAAATAATATTTTAGACTTTTTGACATTATTTTTTATCAAAGAATATATCTATCTATTTAATTGCAAATTAATAAAACACTGCATATAGTATCATATATTTAACATTTTATTATATATATATATATATATATATATATATATATGCGTGTATGTGTGTGTTCACACATATTATATTTATTAAGATTGCTTATAAGTATTAAAGAAAATCTTTACTGAACAAAATGGTTAATAATAAATAAAACAAAATGTTCATTGAAAATATATTTCATCTACAATCATATTTTTTAATTATAATCTTGGAATATATGAAAAGTTGAACACATCATTTACTAATTTAATATTTAATATTTATGATGTAAATTTTTTATTACAAAAGCAATCTTCGGAATTTGCGTAAATTACTTTAATCAATTTATTCATTCTCGCAAACAAACTTCGACAAATAAAAATGATTCAAAAGTTAATTCGACAAACACATTTATATATACATATGTAATGATGTATAAAAGAATGTTGTATTTTTATTATAGATTAATAATACAATATCTCTGTTTTTTAATATTTCTAATATTTTTAATTTGTGATATTACTGAATATGTTTTATAGTAACACATGATCGATATGATAGCAGAAAATCCAGCACATATATAGCAAATGGTACTAAGATTCATTTATCATACTTCTCTTTAAATGTAAGTGGGTTCCTATCTACTGATACAGTGAATGTGAGTCATCATTGAAGAATCCAATTCATTTACAACTATAAATTTACTTTAAACATTTCTTAAACAATCATTTTTTTTCATTTGCCGATAAGGATATATTATTTCATTATCAATTTTATTATAGATTGCCGGCCTCACTATTGAGAATCAAACATTTACAGAAATCACTAGCGTGACAGATATTTTTGAATTTTTACCCTATGATGGTGTCGTGGGGCTGGGTTATCTCGATCTATCTATCCAAGGAATAACACCTATTTTCGACAATATGATTAAACAAGGTTTAGTGTCATCATCCATTTTCAGCTTTTATCTATATAGGTACATATCTATATGGGTACATATATTTTCTACTTATGAACAATACATATCTCTAAACAAGAGTTTTTAATAAATATAAATTTAAATATAAATATAAATATATATATATATATATATATATATATATAAAATTATACCTGTATGTATATTTATATTTATTTTAATATTAATATACATTAAATTTATTATTTATAAATTATTATAATCTTTTAAATAAAAGTATTATTTATATTTGTGTATTAATTATATATAATTTTATCTTAATTATTACACGAACATACACACACACACGTACACGTACATACACGTATTATGATATAAAATTATGCGATTTGTGCAGAGACTCTTCAAACGAAACAGGTGGTGAGTTTATATTGGGTGGTTCCGATCCTGATCATTACGAGGGCGATTTCACATATCTTTCTATTCTTCACAAAGAACAATGGCAATTTAACATGGATACGTACGTTATTTTTTAAATTACGTTAATCATGTTTCAACTAATTATTAACGTTATTTTTTGCAGAGTCATTATAAACGATCACATTCTGTGCGAGGAAGGCTGCCTAGCTATTGCTGATACAGGTAGTTCGGATATAAGTGGACCAATATCAGATATCACATATATTAATAAATTTATTGGAACTTTTAATGTTAATGGACAGGAAAGAGTAAGTAAACGATCATATCTACCATAAACCACATACAGCCTTTAAAAAAATTATAAAATGTTGATATAGCGAAAAAAATAAATATTAAGTACGTTCAAATGAAACAGAAACTTCTATGGAACAACATTAATTCCCGTTATGGTTTAACGTATTTAATATGTTTATTAAATATTATTAATTATTAATTTATTTATGTATTATATTTATATTATATTATACCTTTTGTGTTTAAAGGTGAACTGCAGTCGAATTTCTGAGTTACCTACAATCAGTTTTATTTTGGATAATGTGGCATTCGATCTTACTGGTAAAGATTACGTCGTTCAGGTGAGTGCTATAGGTAAATTATTTAATTAAATATACATATACATATATACGAGAAGTTTACATTGCATATTTAATTCTGCACAGGCCCTATACAATGAAACCTATACAATATGTACAAGCAGGTTTCGTGGAATTGCCTGGTTTAAATTCGAGTGGATTTTAGGCGTTCCGTTTATTGGCCGTTACTACACTGAGTTTAACGTGGAGAGTGAATTAGTGGGATTTGCTTTGATGAAATAAATAATTATTACCTTTTCTAGCACTTTTTAAAATATCACATCTTACATAATAAAAATGTACATAATGTAGAATTATACATTTTGTGAGTTTTGGTTTACGGTCTTGGATTAAAAATTGGTATTTAATATTATTCTTATATAACTAACATAACTTTCATAATATTTGTTTATAACAAACTTAAAGAGATATTCAACGTATTCCAAGACTGTGCATATCTTTAATTATTTATTTTTATCTTTAATTATTACTTTTTTAAAAATCTACAAGAACATTCATCAAACAAAGAGTGATATATAACATATTTTCACTAATGTAATTATAGTTTTAATAATTTGATACATTTTTCGACCTTTTTAAGTTTTACAACAATTAAATTTATGTAGGATGTATTATCTTCCTAGAATACAATCATAATATCATTGAGCTGAATAACTTTTTTTACTATGATATCACTCATATTAAAAATTAATTATAGTTAAAAATCACACATAGAATGAAGTAATTTTTACTGCTTTAACGCAAGCAACATACTGTTACACAAACTGTACACTTTGACGAATTTCTTCGTTATTACACGATAAAACAAGGTAATAATATTTATCAATATATATAATACTATCTATTGTTATATAATATAATTAAATGTTATTATATAATTAAACATTACTATGTAATATAATATAATTATATAGTATAACTCGATAGTATAATTAATAGGATATGTTCATAAGTAATAGTATACGTATACATATAAGTAACAATATATTTCACATTTTATATAAGATAAATATATAAATATATATAAATTATAAATGTTTTATATATTCATAAAAGACAATATATATGTAGACAAAAACGATCAAAAGGGAAAGTGAATGTTTAAATTTTATTTGAGTAAATAAAAAAGAAAATGTAAAATAATTAAAATTTCAATTTTTCAAAAAAACGATGCTCGATTATGTTCCAATCCAAAACAAAAATTCATCAAAAATATGTAGAAAATCTTCTTTGTTATATTTTATTGTGTATTTTATCATCAATTTTTTAAATTATTTGTTTAATTTTTGATAAGAAAAAAAATTCAATCTTTTCTAATCGTCAACTAATAAAGTTCATATGTCATCAATATGAATTTTTTTTACATAATTTATACATAATTACATTTATGATAATGTTATAAAAATCATTTTCTCTTTGCTCGACTTAATAAGAATTGGAGAAAAAATTGGAGGAGAAAGTTACAGTGGATCTATCTAATTAATCTTGAAGCTTTCTCGTAAATATAGCATTTTTACGGACCGAGAAATTCAAAATTTTTCCCGTTTTACTCTCTTCACTCTCATCTTTGTATATGAACAAGAATTAACATACTTCCTTTCGATGAAAGAACAGCTCGTTATCACCGCTTTAAGATAATCTCTCTGCGATCCGAAGGTCTCCGTGCAAGCCGCACTAACTCGTCGACTTATCGATCGAAGTATAGCTGCATTATGCATACCGTCGCGTGCATTTAAACGCATAACGGGGGTGCTGTTCGGTCGTTACGATACAGGCGCGTTTTTCTGATTGCAATTTGCTCTATCGTATTAATCGCGGAAGATTGCGATGATAAAAGTGCGATAATATATCGCGCGACGCAATTAAAAATAATATCTCGGTGTCACCTTTTCTCGAATCAAATATGTAGATCAAGAATACAAGAAAGGACTGCGTGAAGAGATTGGAAAAATTTCTGTTCTTAATGGATGCTACAAAAATTTCGCAATTAATACAATTAGCGCGCAATTCAGCAGCGCCTTTCGACTCTTCAATGAATAAAATAAGCTTCGTTAAAGAGCTCCTAGAAATTGATCTCATATTCAAATACCATGATTTCGCAAATTGTGTTGAATATTAATAATGTGGAAAATTGATTATTATCGAGCGATTATTATTTGCTATTTTACATTGATGTTGATAAATAAAATGAAAAAGTATTATATTATTAAATCAAAAATTTAATAATAGTATTAAATCAAAGATGTGCGAAAAAAACATTCACATAAATTATTTCAATTTTGTTTTTAATATGATAACATTTAATTAGAAAAAAAGAAATAATCTTCTTTAACAGAAACAAAATTATTTTAGGAACTCTTGAATCATGAGCAGAAGTTATTAAATATTTCACGCGAACTTAGAAAATAATTTCTGACGAGAAACGCACTCTCCCTTTCTGATTCGCCCTTGTCGCAAGTATTCCATCTACGAAGACGTTTATAGCGGATGATATAAATTTCCCGTAGCGGTTGAGTCTGTTTTGGCGTGAAAACTCAATCGTAATGGCCTATGAACGGCAGCTATAAAGATCATAACAGTACATTAAGTTCCGATATCGTTGGTACGTTGACGCTGTTGCTCTGAGATTCGGTCGAAACTTTTACGGTCTAATCCCTCGTCTACCTGCAGCTTCTCCCGTACTACGTGAATTTCCGAGAATGCCTGAAGAAAATTTAAAGCCGCATTACCGAACTCTGCTGTGTATGTACACATCGTGAGCATGCTCGAAGCATGCTATGCTAATAATTTATAGCGCTATTGATGTCATTGCAACCTGAGGCGCATATTTGAATTTACAAACCGCCTTCGAACTGAGATTCGATATAAACGCGTTGCATGTATTATTATTTTATCTATTTTCATCTATTTTTTTACGTCCTCGAATATCGTGAACCGTAGATGCAATAAATAAACGTATTTTCTCAGAATTATATGTCATATTGCATTCTAAGACATATCTTTAAATTAACAAATTATAAGATTATGAATCGCATATTAAAATAACAAATAATTATAAGATTATGAATCGCGTATTTATATTATGTAAGAATTCTCTCTTAAGAATTCTAAATATAAAATTTTAAATATAAAACTTTCTAGACTTTTAATCGGATAATAAAACACACATTAAAATTATTTTCAATAAAATATTTTATACAAAGTCAGTATACAAGTACATAAGGTCAGTACGTTAAAATAAGTTTCTAAAGATTTGTCGTAATTTTTACTTCTTCACTTATATTTCTTGTTGTTCTCTGAAAGAATTCAACCCTTTTGTAACGCCCTAACACCCTCGCTGTCGTAGAACAAGTGACGGAATGTTCATCATGTGCAAGTGACAGTCGACAGTTCGAGAAGAAAGAGAGAGCCTTCTTCTTTCGAGGTTGGATCCTCGCGAGAGAGGTCCTTCTGTAAACTCAATTTTCCAACGCGTGCGAGATAAGGGTCGGTCTCTTCCGCAAGCTCCACCGCCGGCCGTCGCTGGCTGCCACCCTCGTCACTTTGATATCGATGAGGGTAATTTACGCGAACATTGTTGGCGAAGAAGATTGATGCGTCGAGTGCGTGCGAGGGCACCGAGAGAGGCTTCTGGGGCCCAGTCGCACCCATCGTGCCACCACCTCCCACCGTTTCCTCCACCATTCTTTCTCTCTTTCTATAGCTCTGCCTGCAGCATGATGAATTGCATTTCGACACCCTACGAACGGCCCTACGAACGATTGTCCTGCGAGACTGCTCCGTCATTCGACGTATTATTGCCGCGCGTGAAACTGCCGACACTTCCGCGTTATCGCGATCAAATGACGCCGATGAGCAATACTTTTCTCTCTTTTCCTCTATATGAGAAAATCGATGACGCTAGATCAGCATTTTTTAACGAAGTGAATTGGCATGTTATTGTGTAATCGTAATAGAATGGATTTCATTGCGATATTTTAATGTTAAAATGCATTACGTTCCATTACGTTTAACCATTATTTAATTTTTGAAATACTGCGATATAAACTTATTTTTTTTTCACTTTAAATAATAATCGATTTTGTAAAAATATTTCGGATACAACAGTTCAAATATTTTAGTATGGTTTTACGAGTGATTTCAAGGGAATACTTAATGTAAAATCCTGTTTTGTTATATCTTTTCGCGGTTCTTAAGGAAAATTAAGATCTTCTGTGAAGTTATCTATAAAAGTTGATTTATAGCAGCATTTTTTACTTTTAGTGACTTTTACTATTATTTTGCTCAATTTTGATTTATTTAACTTGATTTATTACGTGGTATGTAAGCAAAAACAAGACAGAGTGCAAAATAAAATAATCTCGAGAATGCATGAATAAAACAACAAAAATATGAAATGTAAATTTTATGGAATTTCAAGAAATTTGAGCATTTGCGCAAACACACGTCTGAACATTGCATTTGCTCGATTTCTTTTCTTTATATTTTTTATTGTCATCGCATTGAAACTGCTAAACATTCGAAGATGGAAAAGTTTAAAAAAAAATTCTATATTGAAAAATAATAAATAAACAATACTGAGATAAGAGATGTGCGCCAATCTTTTACCATCATTCCCGCATTTATCTCCAGTCGAGACAGAATTGAAATAGCTACGGAGACACGTGCCTCAGTCCCTTGATGAACAGATACGAGATTATTATTAGAACGAAGCAAAAGCTTGAGCTTTTTCGCGTGACTGCTTATCGTTCAAGCTTTTTGCATATAATTACCTCGCGCCGATGAAAACACATTTTTAATTTTATGGTATCTACGATACACTTACTCTTCAATTATCCTTTTTTTTACACTGCAAATTAAAACGGTGAAGAAATATCTTCTATCGAAAAATAATGGCGAATAGAGGCGCGGCGACTTTTGCATTTAACGTAAAATATAATATACATCCGATAGGAATTTGCTTCCTTGTAGTAATAATTTGATGTGATTATGTATTTATAATTGTTTCGATTATTTGTAATGTACAGAATATTATATCGATTTTCTGTCATTATTTTTAAGTATAAAATAGATTTAATAATATTGTGTGTTAATATAAAGTATTAGAGAAACATCCTATCTTTTCCCTTTAAGAAATATGTGCTTTTCGTTTTATTTTAAATTAAAATCAGAGGGTTCATGATATCGGAGATTCCAGCGTACTTAACTATTCGATTGTCTCCAGCACAACGGCAAAGTTGCCGTCTGTATGCCGATAGCCGCGAGGCGCTGGAATACGCAATTGCGACGCACAAACATTCACGTAGGATACGATCCTACGCTTATTCGCGGTGTGCTAAAAAATTCATGGAAGTATCAAACTTTAAGTATTCGGCAAAGATCTCCGGCTGCGAGATTGGTGCTGAAACATACGGCAGGAAACACGTTGTACCGCAGACACGCATAAAAGAAGAGACGCGATATATACATATTTTTATTTATAAATTTATTTACATATGAAAATATTTTTCTCGCGTATACATAATTGTATATTAATTAAAGATTTTTCTCTTATTTTAATTTATTAATTAAAATTTAAAAATATTTTTAATAAAACAACAACAGTCAATTTAATGAAATAGTTTTCAATATTTATTTTCGATATTTCATATTCAGGAAAAATAATAAACAGAAAAATATATCATGCGTAATAAATAAGTTCTTAATTGATCGATATTTCTTATGAAAAGTAAACGATCAAACGTTTGTTCTAGATTTGTTAAATCTGAAACAACTCTTTACGTCGCTTCTCATATTTCTCAACTATTCTTGTGCCCTCGGTTGAATCGCGCATTATAACGTTATCCATTCGAGTAGTGTCGTTCGAATCTTGTAGACCCCTATTTTTGTCCCTCGTCTTCCAGGTTACCCTTATTCCCAAACACCCTCTTAGAAATTCCCGTCGAATCCTGCCACCGGGCTGCTCGGAAAGCGTGTCGACCCGACACGGAAGAGCGGAGATCAGTTGCGTATCGTGATCGCGGTGCACCATGCTGGTCTAGATGGATGTCTCGCTCGTCCCTGTGCACGTTAAACACATGTACACGAGATGCGTGGAACTCCCTTACGCCATCATATTGCGCAAATCTCCAGGGTCCCTTCTATATCTTTTCTGAAATAAATTTCGATCCAAACGATCTCGTTTTTGACGATTCTTGATGAACAATTCAACGTGTTTTTCTTTGTATGTACGATACTCTTATTTCCCCTGTTTCTTCTTTCTCTTAATTTGTCAATACCATTATAATGAGTTTTAGAATCTTGCAGACCTCAAAGATGAATAATATATTAAATTAATTTTTGTTTTTATATATCATTCTACGATTTTTTCGATAAAATTCATTATGATCTTTTTATGATAAAATTTAATAGAATTCATAACTTGTCAATTTATTATAAATTAAAATTCATCAATTTTTTATATTAAATATCTTGATAATTACACTCCAAATTGAATTTTTCTTAAATATTATTTTTTTAAAATTATTTATTGTAAAGTTAATAATGCATGATTCTGTCTAATCGATATAAACAATGTATTTTTTAGAAAGAATTGTTGTTTATTATCAATCGTGAATTTATGTAAATAAATGTTCTTAATTAAGAATATACGATGCAAAATATGATATATTTAAGTTAAATTGATTGATGGAAATCTATCAAGGTTTTTCGAATGTTTCGCGCGTTTTCTCCCTATTCAAGCATTCAACGATTGTATACATACAATATATAAACGCTTTCGAAACCGTGTTCAGAGGAGTGTTAGGGACGAACAACAACATTTTATCTTTCTGTGTATTTAGTCATAAAGTATCGAAAGAAACTCGTTGTTCAAATTTTCACGAATCGGGATTTTAGTAATAAATAAATTCAGAAATATGTTTCGCTTATTTGTGATAGTGACATTGCTCTTTGTGACAACTGACGCGAAATTGAACAAGTTAGTATATATTTTGTATTATATATTGGTATGTTAAATATCGAAATTAATGAGATCTATTTTTTCTCGTAATCCCATGATTTCTTGGATTAAACACGTGACTTGTACAAATGCAATCAATGCTTCCATATAAATTAGATAAAATTTCTTTGGTTAAAATGTATATTTTTATTTATTACTTAAAGGGTAAATAAGAAAAGGATATTTTTGAAATAGTGACTCTCTCTCTCTCTCTCTCTTTGTTCTTTCGTAACGTTCGCTTTTGTCCATATTGCTTTTATCTACATTGAAACGGCGATCGTTAACGTAAATATCGTGCAGTCAAAACAATTTAATTGTATATTATTTTTTCACCCGTTAGCAAGTCACCTATAGATGTAATGAGTTGCTTTGTATAATATTATTTATTTTTCTGACATTCTTTGCATTTTTAATAGTTGATAGAGATATATATGCAATATGACGATCATATAATATAAAGCAAAATCATTGAGTTAATAAACGTTTCTGATATATTTATATTTAAGTGTGTAACGTACTTATATAAATATGTAAGTTATATATTGGGTTGGCAACTAAGTTCCCGTCGTTTTTTTAAATTTTTTAAAAGTTTATTTTTCAATAAAAATTAACAACTAATTAAGCAATAATGTATTCTCCCTTGTTTACAACTTTTCAAAAACGGCGGGAACTTAGTTGCCAACCTAATAGTTCATTTCTGAGATATTTAAATTTGAAATATCTGCTAGTCATTTCAAATATTCACATTTTATATATATATGGTAGCAAGTTTATATATATATATATGTATATTCTTTATGTTATTTCAAGGATTTCATTGCATAAGATGGATTCCACTCCACAATGTTTGACAAAAGTTGACACGAACTTGCAAGAACTTCTTTCGTTAAATGATAGTGATGATGATTTTCCTTCAGTAATTTTGTCCAATTATCAGAACATAAATTATTATGGCGTTATTACCATTGGAACTCCGCCGCAAGAATTTAAAGTAATATTTGATACTGGTTCTGCAAATCTTTGGATACCATCTAAAAAGTGCAATCTCACTGCTTGTTGTAAGTAATTTATTTGTATATATATATATATATATATATATATATATATATATATATTCTATCTACGATCGTATATTTTTTAAGTATAATCTTGGGATATTTATAAAGTTGAACGCAGATACGAATTTAATATTTAATATTATATAGTATAAATATTACAAAGGCAAACTTTGGAATTTGCGTACATAAATTAATTTAAACAATTTATCACATTCACTCTCTAAAGATACAAGCTTTAACAAATGAAGATGATTCAAGAGTTAATTCGACAAACACATTTACATATATAATCGATTTATAAAAGAAGATTATATATTTATTATAGATTAATAAGACAATATCTCTCTATATATGTATATATTTTTAAAATCTTTCTAATATCGTTAATTTGTGATATTACTAAATATGCTTTACAGTAATACATAATCAATATAATAGTACAGCATCCAACACATATATAGCAAAAAATGCTTTGATTCAAATAAAATACTTCAATAGCATTATAGATGGACTCATATCTACTGATATAGTAAATGTAAGTTATCATTAAATCAACAATTCAATTTAGTTGCAATTATAATCATGCAATTATAGTTTAAATATTACTTAAATAATCATATTATTTTTGCGCGGCAAAATAAAATGGTGATATATTATTTCATGGCGATATTTCATTACCAATTTTATTATAGGTTGCCGGCTTCAATGTTCAAAATCAAACATTTGCAGAACTAACTAATATGTCAAACGAAGAACTATTTCTTCCTGCACCATTTGATGGTATCTTGGGCTTGGCTTATTCCTACATATCTGATAATAATATAATACCTGTCTTCGACAACATGGTTAATCAAAATCTAGTGTCATCACACATTTTCAGTTTTTATCTAAATAGGTACATATCTTCTCTACTTATGAACAATGCATATCTCTAAATAAAAGTTCTTAATAAATATACATACAATTATATTTGTATGTATATTAATATTTATATATTAATATTATCACATAAATTTATTATTTATATATTATTATAAATTTTTTAATTAAAATAATATTTACATTTATACATTAGATTTAATTTAATCTTAATTATCACACACACACACACACACACACACACACACACACACACACACACACACACATATCACGATAAAATTATGCAATTTGTGCAGAGACCCTTCAGCCGAGTTAGATGGTGAGTTTATATTGGGTGGTTCCGATCCTGCTCATTATGATGGTAATTTTACGTATGTTCCTGTTACTCACAAAGGATTTTGGCAATTTACCATGGACAAGTATGTTATTTTTTAAATTATATTAATCATGTTTCAACAAATTGACGTTAATGTTATCGTTTTACAGGATTGAAGTAAATAATATCAGTCTGTGCCAGAGTAGTTGTCAAGCTATTGCCGATACAGGTATGGGGGAAACATATGGACCAACATCAGATGTCAAAACTATTAACGAACTTATTGGAACTACTAATATTGATGGAATGGAAAGAGTAAGTAAACGATCATGTTTTACAAAGGACGTAATTAGACGACCTTTAATGAAAAAAATAATAAAAAATTGGTAAATAGCGATAAAAATAAATATTAGGTACGTTCAAATATAACATAACTTTCTATGAAACAACGACATTAATCCACATTTTAGTTGAACATACTTAATATGTTTATTAGATATTATTAATTATTAATTTGATATTATCTTTTGTTTAAAGGTGAATTGCAGTCGAATTCCTGAGTTACCTACAATTCGTTTTATTTTGGGTGGTAAGGCATTCAATCTTACCGGTAAAGATTACATTATTCAAGTGAGTGTTATAGGTAAATTATTTAAATTATTTAAGTTTATATAAAAGAAATTTACATTATATATTTATTTCTGTACAGTTCCCAGATGAAGGTAATACTTCATGTAGAAGCAGCTTTTTGGGTTATGACTTTAAAGAATTCAATTGGGAATTAGGCGTTGCATTTATTGGTCGTCTTTACATCGAGTTTGATATCGAAAACAATCGAGTGGGATTTGCTTTGGCAAAATAAATAATTATTACTTTTTCTAGTACTTATTAAAATATACAACATATATAATAAAAATGTACATAATGTATTATACAATTATGTACATTTTGTGAGTTTCGTACGGTCTTGGATTAAAAATTGGTATTCGATATTTTATTCTTATATAACTAACATAACTTTCATAATAATTGTTCATAACAAACTTAACGAGATACTTAAACATATTTGAAGACTGTGCATATCTTTAATTATTTATTCTTATCTTTGATTATTACTTCTCTAAAAATCTACAAAAACGTGATATATAATATTTTCACTAATGTAATTATAGTTTTAATAATCGATATAGTTTCACGACTTCTTTAAGTTTTAAAATAATTAAGTTTATATCAAATATAGGTATAGTATCATTCTCCCAGAATACAATCATAATATTAATATCATTAAGCTAAATAACTTTTTACTGTGATATCACTCATATTAAAAATTAATTAAAAGTCACACATAGAATAAAGTAATTTTTACCGCATTAATTTAAATAGACATAATGTTACACTTTGACGTACACTTTGACGAGTTTCTTCATTATTTTATGATAAAACAAGATAATAATATTTATAAATGTATATCATACTACCTATTATTATAATTAAGTAATATTATATAGTATAATTAAATATTATTATGCAATATAATATAATATAATTATATAGTATAATTAAAGATAGTATAATTATAGAATATATAAGATAACAGCATATATATACATATATGTAACAGTATATTTCACATTTTATATAAGATAAATATATAAATGTATAAAAATTATATAATTATATATAGTTTTATATAATGTCTACACATATGTAGACAAAAATGATCAAAAAGGAAAATGAATGGTACAAGTGTTACTTGAATAAATAAAAAAAAATGTAGAATAAAATTTCAATTTTTCAAAAGGACGATGATCAATTGTATCCCAAGTTGAAACAAAAATATATAGAAAATTTTTTCTTGTCACATTTTATTGTGTACTTTATCATCAATTTTTTAAATTATCTGTTTAGTTTTCGATAAGAAAAAAAATTCAATCTTTTTTAATCGCTAAAATTCGCATTCTCCGAAAATTCGTATGTCATTAATATAAATTTTTGCATAACATGTACACAATTGTGCCTTAATTTTCAACAGTGCAATACTTTATTATGAAAGCAGCTGATATGAATTTATTGGCTTGATTTTGGTTAATGATGTCTGGGTCGCTAAATAAAATGCCAAGTATGATATGTCTTTATTGTATTGCTTTGAAAATCGATCGATAGATATTCATTCGTTGTCATCGTAAAAATATCCGATGTATCATAAATTTTATCGACGATGAACTCTGCTAAATGCAGTTGTAACGATCGAGTTTTTTTGATTATTGCAATATATAATCTTGCATATTTGTTGATAATATTTATTAATTCGTATTGTAAATATTAAAAAAAAGGTTAATACAAGAGCAACATATTATTATTGATAATTTTAGAAATAATAAATCCTTGATATTTTAATAAAATTAGTTTTAGAGAATACTTAATTTTTAAGTATATAATGTTTTAATTACTATTTTTTAAATAATTTATATATATATATATATATATATATATATATATATATATAATGTATCATAGAGTTGCCGAGTTTTATTGTTTTTCATCTTACAATAATAGTTTCTCAAACTTTAGATCGTATAGGGAAGCTTTTAATTATTTTTATGTAAATGGTGACGGCGCTCGGGGATTACTGATGCAATTTGGTAGGATGAGTAACGCGTCGCCAATCCACAGGGTTTCGGGGATATCCGTCGTATAATGTTCCGAATATGCGCGCCTTCTATCATTATAGGGCCTATACGAGAATCTCATGGGGCGGTTTTCCCCTCAGCTAGATTCTAGTTGATCGACGACGCTTTGGAAGCAGATGCGTCTCTACGATAATGATGAGAATTTTCTAGTGTATATTTTGAGGTCATTGACATTTGATTTTTCCACAAGACTGCATGAGAACGAAAAAGAATATTATTTTTTCTTTCTCTTACCAAAAGTTTTACAATAATAATATTACGTAATAATTGTTAATTATTTAATAATTTTTGTTTTTTATTTTATATGTTATATATAGTATTACATAGAATATTATTGTACTATACACAAAAATAATGCCCTAAACTTTCTCACAATTAATGCGATTGCAGAAAATATGATTCGTAAGGGATGCATTATTTTCGAAGGGACGATGATCCGCGGGGTGCGTGACTTTTATTACAACTTTTAGTGCTCAGGAGTTTTACGTCCTGCTGTTCTTCATCGATGAGTAATCCGCAATGACACAATTTTATTGGATTCTGGAAATGACGTGTACGCGAAACCGAAAATAACATTGCTCTACCTTTCACATTTATAGCAAAAGTAAAGTAATAGAGCAAAGAGCTGGGGTTTTTAACTATTCCTATCAATGAACGTATTTATTAATTGAAAAGAAACCTTCGGATAAGTTTATCTATTTTATTTTTTGCAATCAAATTTTTCGAATTATTGGTATGATATCAAGTGATATACGCGAGTCGACTTTATTATATTATATTCTTTTAAGCGATTATATAGCAAACTAGTGTCTGAAAATTAGTATTTATGAATATAATAATGGATACGTGGGAGAAAAGAACTTGATTTATAAAAACTGATTCGTTTTTGGTCTTTCCTAACGCGTCAGGCCTCGTGGGTCGATACTTGACGATACACAAGAATTTTCTTCCTCTTCCGTTATTGTATTTTTGTTTCTCTCATATCTACAGATACGAGATATTTCGTGGGTCTTTTCTATCAATAGCAAACAAAAGATAAATATGGTTATTACTCGAAGTTGATCAATCGCCTTTACTTGGAATATCTTGCGGTCGTTTTATTTACTTCACATGAATCATATAGCGCATTTTCGATATCATCGTCTGCAATGTACGATGAAACTGAGATTCAATCGGGTTGCTAATATTCACGATGAATCAAACGAGAATGTACCGTTATCCTGTTTTCTTCTCGTTATCGAAACGGTGATATAACAAAGAATAGAGTTGCTGATAAACGAAACCGGGCGATTTGTTTTGCTTATCACGATACGTCTAATCTATGAACATGAAGAAAGATGATCAAAACAAGTTTTGACAAGTATTTTTGTTATACATATGATAAGTAATAGATTATATTAGATTATATTTCTTTATTACAAAGGCTTTTATTCCTCTTCCGCCTTCTAAATCAATCGAGATTACGAAGCGTTTATGAAAACGACACGTGCGAGCTCGTCATGAAAAAATGTAAGTAGAGAACAGACCTTTTATTATATGATTTCAACGAGCGTCTCTTCGTTCCCCCTAATTCGATCAGTTAGAATTAATTCGAGACACGAATAGCTGCCGTGTCCATTGAGACTGTAGCATAATCGGTTCACAGATGCACGAACACGATGATGCTTGTCCCTCCGTGGCGCAAGGCCATTTCGAATATCCGCCACGAGTCGCCGCAGATTGAAATCGCTCTCGCGTGCGATACCTGCTAATTAAAAGCGGACGGTTGTAGAAAGTGATGTATCTTTAGAACAATGTGCGCGATTGTTACGGTAGCCGATGGGAAAATTTTGGGAACGGAATAATTAGAGTCAACGCGCAAGAAAACAAGATTTATATGTCATATTTTTAATTTCTTTTAAATATATTTTTAAATAATATAATAATAATTTTAAATATATTTTTAAATAATATATAAGTACAATTTTTTGTTATAAATATATGTATATATTTAAAAATATATATTATTTTAAAATAATAACAGAGAATAATATAATTTAATATTGTCTGAGGAAAGAGAAGAGCTTTATTCATTCCTTTTAAAAAATGTTTGACGGAAAATTATTTAATGCTGAGAAGAATCATGCAGAGAAGACGAAATATATACGGTACGTGATACTGTTACGATGCTACGAAGAAAGGATTATAAGCCGCAGCTGCAGACCAATGTTTATGTGACTGCTGAGTGCAGCGATCCGAGAAGCAGAGTTCATCTTGAACGTTCTTCAAATGTAAACCGAGTTGCTAGTTGAATTACATATACAGAGTATGCAGAACTATGCTTCGCTGTTTCTATTGTTAGTCTATTCGTAGAAATAAATATTCCGAATATTTTCGACATGTGTTGTTTATGGTAACATTGCTGCAGACTCGATATGAATAAAAAAGTGTTTTTAAGATTAAAGATGCTGTAGCAGCATATAATTTTGTTTAAAGATTAAACGTTATTAAATCTTTTTTTATAAATATTAACAATCATTTCGATTGTATGTTATATTTTTTATATTTCTATATATTATTTAATTCGACAAGGTTCATCAGTTCCAATAAAACAATTTTATTAAAAATCCGTTTTTTCGCTTCATAAAGATTGAAGAGCTGTCTCTATTATTAGAGATCAGAGAATCTATTCATAGAAATAAATATTTCGAATATTTTCGACGTCCATAGAAATAAATATTTCGAGTATTTTCGACGTGCATTGTTTATGGTAACATTGCAATAGAATTGACAAAAATAAAAAATGCGTCCACTAAGAAGCTATAACGGCATATAAATTTTTTGAAAGATTAAAAGTTATTGAACTTTTTTTCAAATATTAACAATAATTTCGATTGCATTTTATATTTCTTTATATTTTCATATATATCATTTAATTTGACAAAGTTCATCAGTCTATAACGATAAGTAAAAAAATTAAAAAATTAAAAATCCGTTCGCTTGCTCTTGCTTCATAGAGATTGAAAAGCAGATTGAAGCTCGCCGGGGGTCTTTCTTTCGACGAGATGACAAAATCGGGACGCGTGAAAGGACTTCCGGTCGCATTCAGGTACCGGTGCGGGCTAAGGGAAGTAAAGAGAGGGACGCAAGAAAGAGAGAATTAACGCGTGAATGGCGTCGCTCACAGGAACGATCCTTTAAGGTCGCACATACACATCTACACACACATACACACACACACACACATTGTATAGAAGTCGCGCGTGTATTGTACGCGTCGATTATGAATGCG